GCTTTCATCTCTAAACCAAGTAATCTCTCTCTCCACCTCGCCGCCTACGCGCCACCAGTCACACACCATCAACGCCGCCGGACGACCACCATGTCTCCACCCTCTTATCCCTCGGTGACAGCTCACGCGCCACCGCTTCTTCCCTTATCGTCATCATCATGGACCGTCTCCACCGCACCGGAGACTCCACCGTCGCCCTAAAATGCCTCCTTATCATCCACCATATAATTAAACGTGGACCCTTTATTTTACAAGACCAGCTCTCTGTTTTTCCGGCCACCGGCGGACATAATTATTTAAAACTCTCCGCTTTCCGCGACCGCGCCACCTCTGCCACGTGGCAAATCTCTGCATGGATCAGATTTTACGCAAGATACATCGAAACCCTACTTTTACCCCAAGAATCTTAGGTTATTTTCTTTCTTCTTTTTCATGCAGTTCCGAAAAAGATAAACAAGAAGAAAAAATCTCATCTTTTTTGAACTCAGATTTAATCAGGGACGTTGATTCTTTGGTTCAGTTGATTGAAGAAACATGCAAAATACCTGATTCCCTCCTTTTAGAAGGTAACAAATTGCTGTACGAGGTAATTGGATTATTGGGTAATGATTATTTATCGACCGTTAATGAACTTTTATTAAGACTCAGTGAGTTTAAGGAAAGACTGAGTTGTCTGAGTTTTGGTGAATCGGTCGAGTTGGGTTGTATTTTGAAGAGATTAGAAGAATGTAAAGAGAGATTATGTGTTATTCTTACAGTGAAAAAACCTTCAACTGAATCATTATGGAGTTTGGTTAATGATTTAAGTGAGAAAATTGAGAATTTGAAGGTTGGAAAAGAAGGTCCAAAGTTGCTAACGTATGGAAAAGCAAGTGAGTCGGCTCGGTTCGGTAACCGAGTTATGAAATTTGGTGACTCGGTCCGGTTTTCTTCAGGAAGGTATGAAATGACTAATCTTTCTCTTATGATTGTGCAAGGAAAGAAATTGGGAAAAGTTCAATAAATTGGAGAATATTTTTTTGGTGGGGAACAAAGAAAATTCAAAGCAAAATTTTGGAAATTTTAAAAGGGAAAAGTGTGCTCTTACCTTTTATAATTTTCAAAATTTTATTGCTGAAGTTGGGATTTTTCATTAAAGGAAAATATATATTTTGGAGTCCCTTTTTATTTTGCTCTTCTTGGTTCAGAGTGAATTTTTGTTAATATGGTGGAGTTTAATTTGTGGCAGTAATAGCATATTTTGTAACAATATATCATGAACTGCCAGATTTTTGTTATTGTTGGATTTGATATATTCCCACCAACATTTTTGTACATATATAATACTTATATCCCAATTTTGGATTTTGACTGTATACCATGTATCTCTCCATAGTCTCTATTAAATTAATTTACATCTATTAAAAGTGAAGAATTTTTTATAAATATCCTCGGGATATTTGTTTGTGCTCTGTATTATTAGGTCAGAAGTTGTGCACATGTTAAGTTGAATTTTATATGTCCAATTTAATCCACTTTTTGAGTCGAACTATATCTTTATATTATGAACAAAGTTAAAGTATATACATAATGACACTCATTATGAATTCTTTGTCTCTAAATTATATATTTGCCTGTGTTTATGACTTTATGTGCATGGCGAAATGATGAACAAATGGACCGTTGTACTGCCACTTTATAAAGAGAATGTTAAGGTTTTTGTCAGATTATTATACTATTATTTCCTGGTAGTGTTTCTTCTATTGGAACAGCAAATTTATATGGTCCTTTTTCTCTGGATGTTTTTTTACCGTTGAAGAACTTTGTCTCGCACTGCTAGTTTAGACTTCCTACTTTTCTATATATATATATAATCACAGTGCTTATATTTGTCTGAGCCGAGAATCTATTAGAAATAATTTTCCTACTTGCACAAAGTAGAGGTAAAATCTGTATACACATCATCTTCCTCATATTCCACTTGTGTGATTACACTAAGGACGTTATTGTTGTTAACCGTGGTGTATGGACTAGTTCATGGATACCTCGGCTAATTTTACGAGATATCTGATACCTCCTATCAGCATAGATACGGAGTAACTCGGTCCATCAATGTTTGAATATATGAGAAAAAATAACCTAGCAATGTTTTTCCATTTACTGGAATTTAAATATGATATCTCATGATTTTCAATCCACTTTGTTCGCTAGGCCATATTCTTGAGAATTTTCTTTAGAGATATAAGTGACATTATTGGCATATTGTGTAAGAATGATTGATTAATTAATTATTTCCCGGATTTTGAGCTTCAAACTTCTACAATTTGCACAAACTAAAACTTCAAATTTTCAATTTTGGTTTAAAATTTCTTGGCAATAACTTTTTGATTTATGTTTTTTTTCTTTATATAAGCATAGTGGTTAAAGATCATTGAATTTAATCTATCTCACTCTTATCCTCCCAACTACGTAATCATGGTGTATTATGTTTTGATATATAAAAAATGAAAAAAATAAAATTATATTTTATACCTAATGAAGGCAGAGATATTACTAGCTAGTGTACAAAAATAATAATTTTTAATAGGTTGAATATTTAAAAGAAAAAATAGTACTAAAAGCTTAATGTTTAGTGTTATAGATCCTATTAATTTTTCTCCCTCCGCCACCACCTAATGTAATGGAATTCTTTTAAAGAAATATCTAGTGCAGTGAAATACGAGAAGGCTTGACTGAGTCAACCAAAATGAGAGTCTAAAATTGTGAAAGAGGAAGTTTCATTTCTCACGACTACAACATTTGTTATTATAATATTAGACAATATTACGTCTGATTAGATTTTGAAACCTAGTGGTGGTAGTACATATTAAATACGTACTAGTTATCTCCTGTATTTGTTTCATTTAAAATAACTATATGATGTATTATATCGTCTGTTAAGTAATCATTATGTTAATATATATTTTGGATAATTACATGAACACAACTTATAATTTTTTCCAAAATAATTAATGTCATCGATGGCTTGATTCCCGGTACAACTACAATTAGTGTAGTTAATAAATTACACCAACTCTTGTTTATTTATATGCATGTTGCATTTGTCCTCTAATATAACAAAGGAAAACGAATTTTTTAAAAAAAAAAACAATTCATTTCTGTTCGAGGTTGAATGTCGTTATCTGTGGTGTACGACATCAGAAGTCAAAAGGAAGGCTCTCAGTTTCTCCAGATTATAGTTTAGAATTTTCCTTCTAATTTTCTTCTGTTTCAAATTCCAATTGTACCAAGAATCTAAGATGGGTTGGCTGGGAATTTAATTAACAAAGATATTCCTGTCAATTTTTGGGGGTAAATGCACGGATAGCTAATTTTGGAGATAAGTTTAACAATGTTGTAATTAACTTCAAACATATAAGACTGAAGCTGAAACACTCTGCATCTGAAACTACAAATTTTATCTGAAAAACCTACAGAATATATCATCTTGAATAATTTTTTAACAAACTTGAAAAGGTTGAATTCCACAAGACAAATCCTTTTGCACTTGCACAACAAGGACAATTACTTGCTACAATTATAAACTTGGACAAGTTAATCTAGGTTTGTCAAGTTGCCAACAACAATTGACAAAATAAATTAAAATTTTAACTTTTACCTATTAGGATTATAAAATTGGAACTAGTGTCACGACCCAAACCACCATGTCGTGATGACGCCTATCGTGGTACTAGGCAAGCCGACTCTTTACCAAAAACAACCCAATATTTCAATTTTTAAAGATAACTTCAAGCTATTTAATAATAAAACTTAATGAAGAAAATCTGAATAATGCAAGTGCGGAAAGAAAAGCCCGACATCGGGGTGTCACCGTTCATGAGCATCTACTAAAAATCTATCTGAAGATATTGAGACTAACATAGTCTGGAAATGTACTACAAAATAAACAATAGGAAGATAGGAGGGAGAAGAACAGGGCTGCGATCGCCAGCAGCTACCTTGCCAACTCCGAGAAGAATCTACAGCTGGACTAGTCAACAGCCACTACCGGGTCCTGATACGCCTGGATCTGCACACAATGTGCAGGGAGTAACGTGAGTACGCCAACTCAGTAAGTAACCAAAGTAAATAAAGACTAAGAAGCACTGACGAGCAATAAAACATATAAAGTTCATATCAAGAAATCTCAGTAAAAGTACAGCATGCTTTTAAAAGCAGAGTCTGAATAAAGTCATTTCGTTTAAACTCAGTTTCAGTAAAATCATTTGAAGATATTTTTCAACAGTTCACAACAAAGGCTCAGTGCGACGGTGAGCAAAAATAATGAAATCATAAACAGCCCCTCGGGCAAAACATCACTCATGAACAGCCCTTCGGGCAAACCTCTCAGTCACTCGTATACAGCCCCTCGGGCATAACAACACTCACACTCAAGGCACCCGCTCACTGGGGGTGTGCAGACTCCGGAGGGGCTCCTTCAGCCCAAACGCTATAACAAGCCACCTCGTGGCATAAATCAATCAGGCCATCGGCCTCACTCAATCATGAATCAGTAACAACATGCTGCGGCGTGCAGCCCGATCCCATAGATATCCTCACAAATCAGACCCTCGGCCTTACTCAGTCATAAATCTCTCAAGCCACTCGGGCTCTCAGTAAAAACAGGGTACTCAGCCCAAAATAACATTTTATATGTATCAAAACAGAGTAATAAAGACTGAGTTATAAAATTCAATAAGTGTAACAAGACTGAGTAAAGATTTTCAACCAAAAACAGTGAGAGGATAGTAAGAAAAGGCCCCTAAGGGTCCAAATATCTTTGGCACAAGGCCCAAATATGACATTCAACCCAATTTATAGAAACTCTTTCTAGAACACATAAACATCATATAGTTTCAACAAAATACGCAACTTATAGTTGCTACGGGCGGACCAAGTCACAATACCCAATGGTGCACGCCCACACGCCCATCACCTAGCATGTGCGTCACCTCAAAATAGTAAAACGATACGAAATTCGGGGTTTCATACCCTCAGGACTAGATTTACAATCGTTACTTACCTCAAACCGGTCAAATCTCTACTCCGCGATGCTCTTGCCCCTCGACTCGACCTCCAATCGCTCCAAATCTATTCACAAGCAATACAATGCAATCAATATAGGCCAAGGAACCAATTCCACATGAAAAAACTATCAATTTAGACCAGAATCACGAAATTCACCCAAACCCAGCCCTCGGGCCCACGTCTCAAAATCCGACAAAAATCACAAAACTAGAAAGCCCTTTCACTCACGAGTCTATCCATACCAAATTGATCAAAATCCGGCATCAAATGGTCCCTCAAATCCCCAAATCAAACTCTCCAATTCCCAAGCCCTAACCCCTCATTTTCACCCCTAATCTTCGCTAATTACATGAATAATCAACGGGAAATCATCACATATACGAGTATTAGGGCTCAAGCCACTTACCTCGCTGATAAACCCTTGAATTCCTCCTCAAAATCGCTCTCAAAAGCTCCAAAGCCGACTAAAAATAGTGGAAAATGAACTAAAATTCGCGAAGGGTTCAATATATACCTTCTGCCCAGGCTTCTCGCACCTGCGGCCTATTTCTCGCGCATGTGGTACCGCACCAGCGGTCAAGGCGCCGCACCTGCGAACTTCACTTAACTCACCAGCTTCCGCACCTCCGGACTCGCAAGTGCGGCCAATCTTGCGCACCTGCGCCAAACTCCGCGTCTACGATTATCGCACCTGCGGTTCCCACTCCGCAGGTGCGGAATCATCAGAAGCAACAGCTTCAGCGCCTTATTCCACTTCCCAACTCTTCGTCAACCATCCGAATTCATCCCGAGGCCTCGGGACCGTCACCAAAAACTAACCAACCAAGTACACATATCAACATACGAACTAGTACGACTTCGAAACGCTCAAACAACAATCAAACAACCAAACTCAAGCCTCACGATTCAAGCCTAACGAAA